CCACAGAAACTCTCAAGAACAGAAAGATACGAAAAAATAGTTACAATATACATATACAGTTTACTATCACTTTACGAATACGATGGACATGACTACATATATAATATCACAGGTATAATTACATTAACATACACTATGAATAGAATATAATGTCTCACTTTTGGCCATTTGTTGAGCGTTCGTCCCTGTGAGGAAGGCTTTGGGTTCTGTCCCCTGGCAGACATACCGAAGTCTTAATGGTATACACAACACTCCACGCACAGGTTATGACACGAGACAACACATGGACAATGTGTGACTTAGTTCAATGAGTACACCCTGTTACATAGACCATATGGTCATTTTATCCCTTTATTGACACCGAAATATCCCGTCTACAGCATACATACTCGCTTGCACTCTTACACAAAACACATGGAGTTACGTCCTTAAATGACTTTATAGTGCTACCTCACTGAAACATACTACCGAAGACACCCAGCAGGACACCCCTATAAAGTCGGCATCAGTTCCGCGCTATCACAAAGAGACGAACACAAACATATCGCAGCCACCCAAAACACACACGCATATACTACAAGCATGTATCTTGCACACAGGAGAGGCCGTCCTTTAATGACTTTAGCTGTTGATAGGACGTTAAACAATACTAAACCAAACCAAGCCTTAAATGACCTAAGATGCTAATAGGACGTTAAACAAAATAAAACCATCAACCAAACTTAATATGTTCCACCACACTGTCACTGGTTGTTTATGACATAGTCCTTCTATAATCGAAATATTTTTATCAAAAGATACTTTTATTCTAAGATGAACACATTTTTTTTGCGTGTGGAAAATATCATTGCTCGGGTGGCTTCTGGCTGTTGATTTGTCTGTTAATATCTGATAATTCACCATAGCAAGGGATTTGTATTTGCATACTTTAGCATATGTTCCTAGTTTTGGTTGCATTATGACTGACAGAGAAATAGTGTGACATATTATCTCAATTTATCTGAGAAGTAATAATTAGTTTTAGCTGCACAAGTGTAGGCTAATCAGTACTAGCTGAGCTGTATAGGGGGTCATGCTGTGTGATCAGCTCCCTCTGGCTGAAGGGCGAATGGTCAGTAGTGGGATACCCCCACTGGGACCATTAAAATGATAAGCTGAACCTCAGCCGATATAGTGTAGATTTGATTTGTTATTGTTTAACAAATTCAACATACTATTTCTATGTAGCTTCATTCTTTTATACAAGAATAGAGAAATAAAAACACTAAGCATTATGTGTAGTTTATGGAACTGTTTTGATTATTCAAATCAAGCAAGTAGTTTTGATTCTGTATATGTTTTACTGTCATTTGAAGTGTTCAAATACTAAATAATTCAATAATGCATTTAAGTTCAATGTTTGTGTTATAAGTGCAAGACTTCAGTATAAAGCAGAGAATGTCATCTTTCAGGACAAGTATTTAGATCAGTTGTAACATTTATAGTTTTGATAAAATATCAGGTTAAAGTAAAATAAGAAACACAGCATGGGCCAAATGTCCTGCTGGCTGAGATCAGCAAGGAGCCTCAGCAGGAGGTCTTCTGTGAGGGACAAGTAGCAAGTATATAAGGAACGAGACAGAGAGAGTAGAGAGAGACCTTGCGAGTCAAAAAGGAGAGAGAAACCTTGAGCGTCAGAAAGGAGAGAGTTAAAGATTATCAACATTTGGATTAACCTGAGTAAGCTGTACATGGAAATAAAGATGTAAGGAATGGCAGCAATGGTGTTGGAGTTATGACTACAAGGACGACGTAGGATTACGTCGTATGGCCGGACTATGACATCAGACCCCAAAAGGGCAGCCGGTCATAGCATCATAAAAGATCCTTCAATGCATTGTGAGTATGAAAACATTCATCTCTTTCCTAATCTTTCCTAGTCCTAAGTGAAGGTGAATGTCATTTGCATTGGCGTAAGTAGTAATGCAAGATAAATGTTGAATGTAGAGATACATTTTGTCCCTGTGCATGTTTAAGATGAGCAATATGTTGTTCCAATTTATGTTGAGGTCTTGCAGGAAATTGGGAATTCGGATACCAAATTTGGTGCGAGATTATGATTTTGCGAAAATATGTTAAGGTAATTTGGGTTGAAGACAGGATCTTGGAATTAGTTTTAGTTGGGCAGCAAACGTTACAGCCAGTTTATTCCTTCAAGTCATTAAGAGGCGATTCATTCGTTTCCACGTAAAGGTTTTTCACTGGTGTTGTTCGAAAGGCTAAACGCAAATCTTGGTTATGAATTTGATCCAACATCTACAGATAAGAACTTCGTGCCGATTCATAGACGATTGAGCTATAATCGAGTTTTGATTGGACGATAGATCTATAAAAATTACAATAGCATTTCAAAGTCTGCTACAAATAAGTATGATTTGTAAAATGTTTAGCGCCCCTGAACATTCATCTTTCAGAATCAAATATTAGTTCAACATATTTGGTTTCCTCAACAACTCGGATTCTAATGCAATTATTCAGTGCAACATTTAGATCACTGTAAGGTTTTCGTTGTCGACATCCATGTATGCACACAGTTTTAGACTTGAACAGGTGGTGAGCATTTTTTTTTAGATCTGTAACAGATTACGATGTCATCCACCAATAACGACTTGTCGATTGACTGAACCATCGATTTTTAGACAAAAAAGCATAAAAGATAGGATTCTATCCAGAGAAACTCCTCTTTTCCGTTTAGCCGTTTTAGATAAGGTTAAGTTTCATCAACCATCGAATAATTACACGCTTAGTGAGCTCTGGTATATCATTCACATACATAGGGAATAACATTTGGCCGAGGACACTGCCCTGTGGTACACCACTGAAATGTAGTTATTATTACCTGCTGATGAAACATAACACCTACTCACCCGGGTATGATATGATCAAATTAAACAGTTTCATTTCAGTTTCACCAATAATATTTAGACAAAAGTGGTGACAATGACTACAAACAACGCACACGTCACCAACACGTTTTCAGTCCGGAAGGACACCCTTCTTGAAAAGGTTTTATTTATATGCACTCGTGCGATATGAGCATTTCAATAACTTGTAAACAAGCATAACATACAACAAATCTTTTATTTCCTGTAAAGAGGCCAGTATGGTGTTCTTTGATTGGCTATCTCTTTTTTTTTCGATGTTCATCACACTGCTCTTATTCCAGGTCGTCTATGTGGCCAGACACAATGTCTAAAATGTGACTCATGGTTGTATTAAATTTGTTTCTTTCCTCTGGTGTGCAAACTATTGGATTGAATTTCTTTCTGGTGCACAATCCGTTCTCAGCTATGTGCACCAAAACTTCTGTCATTGTACAACAGAGAAAAGTTTATAAATTGTTAGTCCAGAATCACGCGATCCTTCCCGTCTTCCCAGTAATACTGTTTGTCCAATGATACGCCTATACAACACAGAATAGACACAACGCATTAGGCGATACCGGGCCAAGTTCGGAGCATTGACATTAAATCAGTTCTGGACAATATGCCATATGTTAAATATATACCATTAGGAAGGAAATGTCTATGCCTTTCATATCCTAACAAGAGAACGGCAAACACATCCGAGTTTGGTAATTATTGAACATTTTGTGTCGGAATATCGGATGGCAAAACGTGATACGACTTGGGGCAAGTTCGGACAGGCAGTCTGTGGTCACTTCGGCGCACGTAAACTCTCCGTCAGTTGCATGGATCAAACATGGGCGAAACTGGCATGTCATAAAATTTGTAAATATTTGCCCAATAACACAAATATCATCGGTGGCCGAACCTGCCCGGATATCCCCTATGGGTTTTAAGGAATTAGTTACAAAAGCAAAGTTTGATTTTGCTTAACGTACGCGTCCTATTAACAGCTAAGGTCATTTAAGGACGGCCTTCCCCTATGTGCAAGATGCATGCGTGTAGTCTATGTGTGCGTATTTTGGGAAGATGCGATATGTTCGTGTTTGTCTCCTTGTGATAGCGCGGAACTGATGCCGACTTTATTGTGCAACCTCACTGAAACATACTGCCGAAGGCACCCAGCAGGACGCCCCACCAGGTCACATTATACTGACAACGGGAGAACCAGTCGTCCCACTCCTAATTTGCTGAGCGTTAAGCAATAGTAGAAACTACCGTTTTTAAAGACTTTGGTATGTCCCGGGACAGGGGACAGAACCCAAACCCTTCCTCACATGGGCGCACGCTCAATAATTGGCCAAAAGTGAGGCGTTGTGAAGGGGGACATTAGTAAGAAGAAAGTTATTTAGAAAAGAGAGAAAAGGTAAGGTCCCAAATTTAGTCGCCTCTTACGATCATGCAATTGGGGGCAGCAGGTACAATTCTTACGCCCTACCTGCAGAATCATCTTGGTCTTTCAAACCGCCACGTTGTTGACTATATCTCAATGTCGTTGGACTGGTCAGGCAGGAGAGATATAGCTCACAACGCTAGTAATACTAGTCAAATAAGTATCTTGTCACAGTACCCAACAATATGCGAGGTCACCGAGAAACTGTCACTACTATAAGTAGAGCACACTGCATGGATGGTTGGTTACAATGTCTACAATATGCAGAGCGAAATAAGCCGTCCGCACAGTCTGGAATCCTGGAAGGAAGAGAGTTGGAGTTGAGGTATATTCACCCAAGCATCACAGGGTCTCTTGGGCCTTACTTCTGATGGAAGCCCGGATGACGTAATGTAAACAGACCGTCGACACAACATTCCCCCCCAACCTTATAATGAAAGTCCTTTGTTCTGGGAGGTCCTGAATTGGAGAATACACTGATCCTTAATCAAAGTTCCCACAAACTATATGCCTCTGTTTTTACAAAATGTTCTATTACTGGTTGTTGCTCCATGAAACACGGAGATAAGGCACAGCCTGGAGTATAGGTGCAGGGTAGCACTATAAACACGAACCTGGCCTAAAAGACCAGGTACCCCTGACCATAGATGTTTGAAGATAACCTACAAGCGTCGATACAGTCGTCGGGCGTTTTGGACAGATGTAGCCAGCAGTGATTCCGGGTTCATCTTGATGTAACAAAAAACCAAAAAATGCTGGATGCGATGCGGTCCGGAATAGCTGGTTCCGAATCTGGCAAAATATGGAGCGTCTGTCTCTAAAAATACTCTCTCAGGGTTGATTCCCCTTGCGGCTTGGGACTGCTGGTTGTTGAACTTAGCAGCCATACTGGTGAATCCGAAGTACAGCTGTGAGAAGGCACTGGTCACGGACGTAGGAATCTCCACTGAAACAATGGAGATGTATCCTTTGGTCAGGACGCACAGCTTTCTTCACATAATAGAGCAGAAGTAGATAGGCTTTCGCTCCACTGTCTCCGGTGATTCCTCTACAGTGTAGTACCAAGACATGCCCAGGTTCCACAAGTTGCAAAATCTTCTCCAGCATAACTGACTGCTGAGCCCACTGCTCCCTAGGGACGGAATGGTCCAACCCAATCTCGCCGACTGCTCCGACACGAGGCAACTTGATAAGCTGACGCAGCTCCTGGACAACGCGGTTGAACTGATCCTGCGAGAACTTGTGCTTTGGATGTTCCCCCACTGCGACCTCCATGTCCTCTGGTTATGTAGCCAGATGCTCCTTAGTTGGGTTGGTAATGGGGTCACAGTAACAGGCACAGATTCCGACAACCTCAATCTCCTGTCCTGGTTCCATTGGACTGAGTGCAAGTAAAGACTGGAAGGTAGTCTCCTTTGGTAAACCCATTGCACGCAGTGTCCGTTCGAGGCGGAAATGAGAGTCAAATGCACGGAGCCTGGCCCGTGCCACCTCCTCAGGAATTGAAATCAGAGTTCTCCAGTACTCATGTTCACTCGAGGTCATCCTTGCCAACATCAACATAACCGCCTTCCTGTGGATAAGAGCAGTTATAGAATTCACCGGATCCACTGTATACTTGTCTTGGATCGGCTCACCCAGATAACTACTGAATGCCATCATAGTCACCGTCTAACAGTCAGTGATGCTGACACCTCCCTCCATTCGTTGTCAACAAATGCTGCATCTCCACGTATTCCCGAAGGTCCCCGAGATGTCCCACTGGCCGCCGGAGTAGCCAAACAACAGCCTGCTTGAGAGCAGCCTCTCTGCCTTGCAACACTTCCTGATTGCCAGGGTCCACATGCTCGCTGAAGATTCCAGGTATATGCTCCCGGAACAATGGAGGCGAACATAGCTGAAATATCCTCTTTGATTGAGGACCCGCCGGCTGACTGATTGGACGCTTCCTGGTGGCGCTCGGGTCGGCCCGCACATTTCCACTAAGGGCCTTACGGGGACTATGACGGAGAGAGCTGTAATGCTTCCTTGGACTCCTCCTCGGACCCTCGGGACGCCCTTCTGTCACTTGCAAACCTATAACGTATATTTCTTGCAGGACTTTTGAACAAATTGTCGAATCAAAATTATTTTAAGGGAGACACAACTTCATATCATGATTATAATGTATACAAAGTTTCAAATAGATCGGTCGAAAAATATAGGAGGAGATTGCCGGACAAACCAAGTTAACACCGGACGGACAACGCCATACCATAATACTACTGTCAAATTTGACGGTCGTATAAAAATTGAGAATATACGGAAGTGGATATATCAATTTATGTATCGGCATTAAAAGTTATCGGTTATGTAAAATGTATTAATAACATTTGCAAGCAAATGGAAATAGCATCAAATGATTTATATAATGCATTATTGAATGGATTATAAACATAGCTTANCATATCATGATTATAATGTATACAAAGTTTCAAATAGATCGGTCGAAAAATATAGGAGGAGATTGCCGGACAAACCAAGTTAACACCGGACGGACAACGCCATACCATAATACTACTGTCAAATTTGACGGTCGTATAAAAATTGAGAATATACGGAAGTGGATATATCAATTTATGTATCGGCATTAAAAGTTATCGGTTATGTAAAATGTATTAATAACATTTGCAAGCAAATGGAAATAGCATCAAAGAGAATATACAATGCATTATTGAATTGGATTTTAAACATAGCTTAATTTGCATAATTTTAAAATGGGTGGAATTGATCATAGTATGCATCAGATATTGCATCTAATGTGAGTATGCAAACATGCTGTTTTGGTTGGAATTTAGCATGACACTGATTGTAATAATATTTTGATGTGTCTCCAACGTGATAGGTAACATGAAATATGTAATATTGTGTGATGCCCTATCTTTTAGTCTGTTGGTGTTTGCAGAAAATCCTAGCGAACTGTAATTTATGAGAACATGTGTAGTGTGTACATTTTCTGTACATACTCGGTATGGTCACTGCCTAAGATGGTTTTTTTCCTGTTTGGAATGATCTTAAATAGGCAATGAATGTGTTCAATCATTTTGTACATGTTCTAGTACTGTTCTAGTACAGATTTAAATGAAATGGTGTACTCACAATGTGTGAATTTTGAATCCAGTCCTTAGTCCCTTGACTGTAGTGTTTGGAATAAATTCTAAATTGGGGAATACGCGTTCGAGTTTGATAGGCAATGATAGATTGAGAAGTTCTTCACCTTCCTGCAACACTAGCGTTGCTTCATCGCTGCAATGGAAATAAAGCAGATAAGTCATACGATAATAAACATGTATGTTGAGACATGGAAAATTTACATTAAATGTCTACCTTGACAATGCCTCACTTTTGGCCATTTGTTGAGCGTTCGCCCCTGTGAGGAAGGTTTTGGGTTCTGTCCCCTGGCCGAGACATACCAAAGTCTTTAAAAATGGTAGTTTCTACTCCTGCTTAACGCTCAGCAAATTAGGAGTGGGACGACTGGTTCGCCCGTTGTCAGTATAATGTGACCGGGTGGGGCGTTCTGCTGGGTGTCTTCGGCAGTATGTCTCAGTGAGGTAGCACTATAAAGTCGGCATCAGTTCCGCGCTATCACAAGGAGACAAACACGAACATATCGCAGCCTCCCAAAATACACACACATACACTACACGCATGCATCTTGCACACAGGGGAGGCCGTCCTTAAATGACCTTAGCTGTTAATAGGACGTTAAACAAAATCAAACAAACAAACAAACAAACATTAAATGGAGTGGGGTTGATATTTAAGTAATTGAAAGGCCATCAACGATGTGGTGCGGAAAATAGTTGGTGGTATTGTTGGCAACAGTAGGTTAACATATGATGCAAAGCAGTGGGACACACAGAAGCAAAGTTTTTTTTTGAAAGGCAATAAATACTTTGTAATGATTGATTGGTAAAAATATCTGGTTTCAGTTACATTTGTGTTCAGATAGGTATAAGTAGGAATGGAAAACATTAGTCTGATATAAATGGGAAACATGCCAAATATTATATCTAGTCGGATGACAAAATTTTGTAGGAGATGGGGGGCGTTACATAAATATATGAAAGAATTGTGCAATATGTGCATAATGTAGAGTTATTACATACATGACAGCAAGTAACAATTCATTGAAAACTTTCAGCAGGATGTGATTGGACAAAGTGGCTGGAGTTGCGGGCGAGCCATGAGGCGATTTGAATTAGGGACAGGGTTTTGGTGTGGAAGATGGCGTTAGCACCGATACATACTCGTCAATGGATATGGCATATTTAGTGCCCTCAAATGGCGCATCGTCTCCAATTTCCTGAAAAGAGAAATGGGAACTCATTGATGTAATTGTTCTGGAAACTAATTAAGTGTATCATGAAGCATGAACGATTTGGCGATGTGAAATGGCAATAAGTGGGCAGCCACATGCAGAGACGCCTTTTAAAGAAAGTTTTACTTGCATGGGTCACAATGCAATGGAGACAACATCTTGTATAAACAGTAGTGTTGTTCCAATTGATCAATTTAGCCCGACTGCGTAAGACACAAGTGCAAAACCTGAGTCTTAAAATCTCTCATCTCCAGAACAATTATGGGGGGAATTCTTGTGTGTTGCCAAGTTGTTTGTTTTGGCATCGCCCCACAGGCCGATTGTGGCGAGTCAGTGTATGAATTGGCATTTCACCAAATGATAATCAGTCAAGTGCGTTTGGGGCAACATGATTTACATTTTCAGTAAGGAAGCTGTAGGGCCATTACCAGTATAAATGAGGATTTCATAAAGGTGTGGGAAAGAGTTGATTGTGGACATTTTTGCGTTCGTCTAGGTTTTCACTTTGTCTCTTGTATTCAGAAGTGAGCAGAGTTTTATGATACATACTGTTACTGTTGTACAATTTGTCGAGTTGGCCTCTTTCTTTCCTCCAAACTCGGCAATCGTAATGCACGCAACGACTACTGTCGATCCATTAGTGGGGAGAGGTAGGTCTACTTCCTCCCCCCAGAGTTTCACTGCAAATTCTTGGGCACCGCCGTCTTGTAGGCGGAGAACTTTCCTCCTCAACGTTTCCGTCGTCAGGACATCTGATGTCTATGTTATGAAACAGATCATGAAATTTAATGCCAGCTATATATTATGGGAATGGGGTTATGATCATGAGCTGGAATTTGGAAATAGCATCAATAGCGTAACATGTACAGATTTAAGAAAATGTTTTTCCAGTAATATGTGGTGGTTTCAATATCTTGCAGTAGCAGGGAAAGGAGAAGAGCCACGAACCATCAAATTTGGCCCAGTGTTGGATTTTCTTCAAAATTGACCCATATATACTCCAAATACTTACCCTTCATAAAATAATATTATTATCTGGAAAACATCAATTCCGTTGCCATGGCAACCACTAACAAGACCCCCTCCCTTTTTAGGTGATTTTCCTATAAATTCCTATACCATTCTGCTGGAAAATACAACAAAACAACTGTTAGATGCAGGGACAAAATCACTTTTACTGTTGTGATAACCCAATACACTTTTTAACAACTTCCTTGGGAATACAAGTCAAAATACCATTATTATGTCTCTAGTTAGCAGTGTCATAGCAACCACATATCATCTGTATTATAGTTTTTCCA